TGTCTCATCTTGACCTTCCCATTGTCCTAGAATTGCCCAGGATTGTTATGCCTAGTTATGGAGAACCCATCTGGGTACAAGAAAGAAGGAAGGAGCGAAGGGCAGACAAAAGCCACTGTCCCTGGAAGCTCCTTCAGGGGCCTCTCTCTGGCCCTCCATCTCCAGGTGCTGATGAGACTGTCACTACCCTCCATCTTAGCAAGGACAAGCCCCCATAGTTGCCAGTCCAGGGCACTAAGCGTCCTTTCATTAAATCTCTTCATTGTCACTTGCATTTACTGGTAGTAACTGTTTCCCACGACAGAGGACAGGACCCCAGGAAACATGGAAGCCCTGAGGAAGCAGTGGAGATTGAATGGGCATCCCCAGCCCTGCTCTTTGAGATCCTTCAGTCGCTTCTGCTCTGTAGGAGGCAATGTTGTTCCCAGGTACCTGGGCCAGTGGTAGCCTGACATCCTCACCCACCCATCTATCTTCCTCTAGGACACCTGAGAAGGTGAACTTATGGGGGCAACCTTCCTCACTCCTCCTCAGAATCTGCCCTGGGCACCCTGACATTATTCCACTGATGGGAGTGGGTAGGTGGAAAGGAACTGCTGCCCACCCAGGCTGTGATCCAGCCTCCTTCATTCCTGGTCCAACCTGTGTCCACCATCATGGAAGATTGACAGGGCTCCACCTGTGGGTCTACTTTACCATCACCACCCTTCCAAGCCTGAACCCCACCCTTCCAGACAAACAAATATCTCCTGTCCCTCACCTCCAATCCTCAGCCCTACCCACAGGCCGGATTTCCTGTGTAGGGTCACTCAGAGTTGCTGGAGCCCAGTGGCCAATAAAACCCACCGATGCAGATGGAGAACCATAAAGGAGATCAGCAGATCGCCGCTGTAGACCCAGGATGTTTGCTCTGTGCCACCCCCACAATTCTCAGTGTCCCAGCTTTCATGGCGTCCAAGACCCATGGCTCTCCTGGATACATGTCAGGCCCTTAACACAGGTGCTGTGGGGTTTCCTGAGCCCCTTGTCTCCTCTGCCCATTCATGTCCACTAAGCCATATCTCCAGGACCCATGGGTTATGTGGAACCTCTCGGAATAGTCCACAGATTTCTCATTCCTGGGTCTTGTACTCTTACATGCCCCAGCCAGGAGCCAGCCTGGTGCTGCTGCCCCCAACAAAAACAATGTTCTACCCTCTTAGCACCTTGGAATGCCCATTCTACCCACCCATCCTGCTCAGGTGACTGCCCGCCCTATTCCTGATACCCTGGCCTCTACACACTGTTTCTACCCTGGCTCTTTCCTCTTCTCTTTTCCCCTAATGTCGCCTCAGCTCATCTTTACTTTTTGGCAACTCATGGTGTAGCCTCTGAGGCAGAGTTGGGGCTATACCTACTCCTTTTTCCTGTCCCAACCAATCCTTGACGCCCCTGCTTATTCTGACAGGAGGGCTCATTTGTCTGTGCTTTTTGACCTCTGAGTCTTCATACATGAGGTTCCCGCTGTTGGAAAGCCCTTCCAACCTAGCTTTGGATCCCCAGAGCCAAACTCCCATGGGCAGCAGAACATATTCAACTGCTTAGTGCAGAACTATCAAAACTGATCCCCATTCATGGGGTCAGCATGGGCAGACTCACCAGGGAGGATCCAGAAGGGGAGGTGTGTATTCCTAGCTTTGGTCTGAGGGAGGATGTGCACCTGAATAGGGCAGGGACATGAGTGAAGGTTACAAGAGTGCAGTGCACAGTCAGACTGAAGCCCTGGGGGGTTGCAAGGCTACAGTATGGTATAAAGGGAATGGGCTCTTTGAGGATAGGGGCTTGATGTTGCAATATGGGGCTTTAGGCTGGTAGGGTGGGAAACAGGGTGCCCAGAGGCATAGGGGAAGACTCCAGACCAAGGGTCCCCTGAGAATCACCCTCTATCCATTTCCAGGCTGCTCCACAGGGCAGCTGGGTCCCTTGCTCCCTGTAAGAGGGTGCTGGCTGCTTCTCATGGATGGAATGGACGCCCACACACATCTGCACCCCAGTGGGCACTCTGGTCTGATCTGGTCAAGAACTCCTGTCAAGACTGTTAGCAGCTGACCTGGGCAGAGACCTTAAAGTCCTTTCTTCACCCCCCTGAGTCATTTGGAGTGGGTACCCTTTGCAGTCCAATCCCAGGGTCCCTTAAGGTGGTCAGAGACTGAAGGTTAAACTGGTTTCATTTTTCACCAGGCATACCCCTTCCTCAGGATGCTGGCTCTAATGAATGGAGTTGGTTTTGCCACCAGCTCCTGAGGATTCAGGCAGAATTCTGTGGAAACTTCTTGGAGATCTCTATCCCAACAGAGCTGTCATTGAGCCCAGGGGGTCATTCCAGGCTAGTCCAGCAAGGAACTCCAGGCAATTGTCATCTTTTTTGCCCTCTTAAACCAACCCTGCTCCCTACCTCCAGCCAGGATTTCCAGACCCTTATCTGAGATCAGCTCTGTCATGCTGGGGACCAGCAATGTTGCACCCACAGTGGTTTGTTTTGTGCTGACGTCACTTGTCTCCAGGGAAAATAGCTGCTTTGGGAAAGAATCAAATATTTATTATCTAATTTATTAGGGGACAGGAATGCATTTCCAGGTTTGATATCTGTCTGGGGGCCAGTCTGAGACCCCTTGCCTTTCCCCTGTTCAGTCTTATTGGCCTTGCCTCTAATACCTCCCAGGGAGCCTCGTATTGCCAGGCAGAGCTGACCAGAGCAGTGGAGTAATTGAATCGACTTCCTCCTGTAGTCTCAGAGAGGCCCAAAGTACCCTAAGAGACCCCTGAAAGATATGGACATGGGGACCCTTGGAGCCCATTCTTGGTCTGGGGGCAGAGAAGCTGCAGGGGGTGGCTAGGGAGAGAGTGCACATTCCTCAGGGGCTTGGCAATCACTGGTATTTGCACTCTTTCCAGGCTGTGGTGTATTTGTGCTCACAGCAGTTCCTACCTACTGCCTGCTCACCCTGCCTCTCCAGGCGCAGACACTCTGCATCTCAAAGCACACAGTCCCTTGTGTGTCCTCACAGTCTTCACTGTCAGGGAAGCCTCCAGCAGGGCCCTTCTCCAGTGTCACACTCATTGGGCCACTCTGGACAGAATGAATTCTGGTATGTCCATCCCTCTTCTCACTCTTCAACCATGTGCCTACCCTGTGCACCCAATCCCATTACAGAGCTGGAGGCTTCAGTCTGCAAGAAGATGGAGAGTATGGCAGGGTAGTCTCCTCTGTCCCAAAGCTAGTGCAGTTTTGTTTCAACTGTCACCCTCAAAGTCCACACAGCTACAGGACTGGTGAGGGCCTGGAAGTTCTGTGAGCAGAGGCTAGAGCCTAGTACATATGGGTGCCTTTCCTTCCACACAGCACTCTATGCTGACCAGAACATGGAGCTTTCCTGACAAAGGGCACAAGTTCAGTGCATTGGGGCCAGCATCTCAACACAGCCTCTTTACCCTGGCTCCTCCTGGAAAATCACTTCCTGGCCTGGGAGGCAGACAAAGAATGTGCCACAGTAAGGTGAAGGTACTTGCATACTTTCAGGGGCAGAGCTGAGCCCTTCTCTCTGCTGGGCCTGTCATGTGCTCTCCCAACCCTCAGATCCTGGCCCAGCAGAACATTCTTGTGGGAGAGATGGTCAGTCACCACAGGATGGGTGTGCTGTATTCACCTACAGCTTGGCTTGAGACAGCCTTGTCTTCACATTCCCACCAAGGATGGTCCAGTTCACAGGCTGGTGTGGGCATACCTCAACACACTCTCACATTCCAGCAGAAGACATTGTGGAGGCCCCATGGGATCCTCGTGCTGCTGGGCCATTCACAGCCTACTGGTCTGCATGAGCCCATTGGCCTCACAGCTGGGCATGGGCAGTATGGCCTCTTGTGGTCGACCACACTTGTCTGGCCGTGGCTCCATGGCATCTGCATTTTCCATGCCATAGCCTCTGCGCAGGCACAGAACCTTCCGGAAGCTCTGACGAAAGTTGTCAGAGAGAAAGCCATAAAGCAGGGGGTTGGCACAGCTGTTAGCATAAGACAGGACCACCACAAAGAAATAGAGGCCAGCAGAGGCAGGCTCCTCAGGCAGTGTGAAGGCCAGGTTGACAATGTTGACAATAAAGAAGGGAAGCCAGCAGCCCACAAACACCAGAACCACCACTACCACCATGCGAGTCACCTTGCGCTCTGAGCGCCTCCGCCGTGAGGATCCCACCCGCACACCTGCAGCTTTCACCTTCACCACTATGAGCAGGTAGCACAGGCAGATGACCAGCAGAGGCCCAAAGAAGCCCAGTACAGATGTGTAAGTGATGAAGGCCGCGCCCCACAGTCCCACGGGCTCCGGCCAGCTCAGGTTACAGGTGCCCCAGCCCTCTTGAACATCTGCAAACACCAGGAGTGGCAGTGACATGAGCAGTGAGAAGGCCCAGACAGCAGCACTGGCCAGCTTGGCTATCCGTGGGCGACGCCACCGTGCAGAGCGGAGTGGATGGACTACAGCCAGGTAGCGGTCAACGCTCATGACCGTTAGGCAGAAGATGCTGGTGAACTGGTTGATGCCATCCAATGTCATGACCAGGCGGCACAAGAAGGAGCCAAAGGGCCAGTAGGAGATGGCATTCTGTGTGGCCAGGAAGGGCAGCCCCAGCATGAGCAGCACATCTGCCACAGCCAGGTTTAGGATGTACACATTGGTGACCGTCTTCATCTTGGCATGCCGCAGCACTACGTAGATGACCAGTGCATTGCCGCCCAGCCCCACAGTGCACACCAGTAGGTAAAGCACAGGTACTAGCACTGCCCGAGCTCCCATGGTGGGTGCAGGCCCTACCAGCGTCCAGTTATGGTCACCTCCAGAAGCAGCCGAGGCATTTAGGCCAGGTGTGGAGGCCAGGAAGAGGGGCTCCATGATGGTTGCCTTAGGCCCAGTGCCAGCACATGTGCGCCTCTGCAAGAGAAGAGGTTTCAGTGAGTGGACACATTCCTTCCAGCCGTCCCCTGCCCGGCGGTAGTGGGTAAACACCATTAGTCATGTTCAACTTGGCTTGGAATTACATTAAGCAAATTGTTTGGAAAACAAGCTGGAGAGGAAGGAGAAGCCACTGTGGGGACAGAGGGGCAGGTAGCTCAGTGAGCCAAGAGGGGGGTTATCTGTTGATACTGATAACAATGGTGGCATCCCTGTGACCTGTACCCTGGGATTTCCCTAGCTTGGCTTCTGTCATCCTGCACCCTTTCCCCAAAACCTCTCAGAATCCCAGAGGGGAAGGCCGCAGAGGCCTAGGGGGCATAAACTCCCTAGGTCCCAGACTGCAAGGAAGAGGTGAGATACTGCGGCTGCAGCAAGTCCATCACACAAAGCATGTGTGGTGTCCCAGTCTTGCTCTGCTGGTGAGTCGAAAGCTGGACTCTCTGTGGCAGGGTCCCCCTTCCATAGGAGGCTCTGCTGGCATCCACTTGACTCTAGGGAATGCCATTGCTGGTAGGCAGTGTCCACCATCCCCACCCCTAGGAGCACCTGAGAGTCTGTATAGCAATGACTTCAGAAGTCCCTGTAGTGGACAGTGGCTGTTCTGCTTTCTACCCTAGAACAGATGATGCTGGGCTAAGGGGAGCTGCCTGGCTAGGACAAAGGTCTATCTTCTGAACAGCAATGACAGATATCCTTAAGCCCCAGGCTGAGGGCACAATGTGGAACAGGTAGGTGCCAGGTCTCCCTGCACTGTACAGAGGCCACGAACAAGTGAACACAAAGAAAGTGCACAACAGTCAGAGGGAACATGCCAGGCTGAGGGCATAGCACAGGAGGGGGCACACTTGGCAGCCCACCATGGGCAGAGCCAAGGGAAGAATTGAGGTCCAGGAAGCAAAAGGAGGAGGGAGGACACAGGGCAGGCACTTGGGTTTTATAGACAGAGTACTGAGGCAGATGTGGGAGGACAGACCCTGGTACATGAGTGTCAGGTGCACACACTCATTCATGCTTTGTGTTTTTCTGTGTTTGAAGTCTTTCATAAAAACAAGGACGTGGGCTAGAAAGATGCTCAGTGGTTAAGAGCTCTCACTGCTCTTCCAGAGGTCATGAGTTTAGTTCCCAACATCCGTGTTGGGTGGCATACAACTGCCTATAACTCTAGCTCCAGGGGATCTGACATCCTCTTCTGGTTCCCACTGGCACCCCTACATACATGGCAGACACACACATATGCAAGCAAATTAATAAAGACTTTAAAAATTATTTTATTTTATGTGTATGACTATATTGCCTGCATGTATGTGAGTGCACCTGTGTCATACAATGTCGTGGAGGTCAGAGGAGGGCTTCAGATTCCCCTGGAACTGGAGTTAAGGACGGTTTGTAGCCACCATGTGGATGCTGGGGATCAAACCCAGGTCCTCTGCAAGAGCAGTCAGTGCTCTTAACCACTGAGCAATCTCTCCAGCGCCAATAAAGACATTTTTTAAAAGGCAAAACAGAAACACAGAGATGCCCAAAAGGAATAAACACCTCCACTACTGATGAGGAAAGAGCTGGGCAGGGATGGTGCTTGGGACTTGGCGGCCAGTAAGGAACCTAAGTGCTAGGAGGACAGAGATGAGGGACAAGCCATGGGGTGGCAGGCTCCCTGAGCCTGAGCCAGGCTGTCCACTATCTATGCTGTCCCATAGCCCTGCATCAGCTCAGCTGATTGGCAGTAGCCTGAATCATATCAGAGTGGGAACACCTCAACAGCTGTCATGGTAGAACCTAGTCTTGGGGACACCAGGGCCTGGAAAGGCAACTGCAATCTAAAGAATGAGGAAAGGGACTGGAGTGATGACTCAGTGATTAGGCGTACTGGCTGTTCTTTCAGAGGACCTGGGTTTGATTCCCAGCACCCATATAGCAGCTGTGGGCATTGTACAACATAGGTGCACATATACACATGCAGGCAATACACTCATACATATAAAATAAAATAACAAAATAATAAAATAAAATAAATACACGAGGAAAGGCAGGCTGGGGTGCAGGGAGCCTAGAGGGAATAGCAGCACAAGGAAATGAAAACCTTTCCCACAAGTCAATACAACAAAGTTTCCAAGTTCTCAAGGCTCATGGATGCTAAGGAATATGACCTAGAAAATCAATAAGGAGAAGAGGATCAGTGGGTTTTCAGGTGAAATAAAAATAAGACCTAACTAGTATGCTTGGAGCATTTTTCAGTAAGTGTAGGATCCTTAAGTAAGGAATAGGTAAAATATTATTAAATAAATTTGACTTTTAAGAAGTAAATAAAACAGGTATTTCTTTTTAAATGTCACATTTCTTGGGCATGAAAAATACAGTCATTTAAATAAACAACAACAACAATAAAAAGAAACCCAAGACCAACTCCAGTCTGGATAGTAGTGAAGAAAGAATCGATGAAGTAGATGACTCTAAAGGACACTGAGAAGACACAAACATGGCAGAGACAGGAAGGCCAAGCAGGGGCCACGAAGTCAAGATGGGAGAATGGGAATGCATCACCAAAAGGATGCTAAATGTCTCCTCCAGAACCAGACCAGTCCTGTCCCCGGCAGGATTAAGATACAGTATACCAGCATCACCACTGATCTGCAGAGAGTCACATAAAGAGAAAATCCTGGATAATGCCAGGAACACATGATGGAAACACCATAAACAGTGATAATATCACTATTCCATTAGCAAAGAGAAGGCAGGAAGTGTGTGACAAACCCTATTTACTAAAAAGGCCAAGGTCAGGGCTGGGGATGTAGCTCAGTTGGTTGAGTGCTTGCCTAGCATATATGAGGACTTGGGTTTGATCCCCACCACTGCATAAGCTAGGTGTACTGGCACATGCCTGAAGTCCCAGCACTTGAGAGAGGTGGAGGCAGGGGATTGGATGTTTTGGAAGTTCAAGTTCATCCTCGGCTAGCAAGTTTGGGGGATGGCTATAGCTGAGTAAGTGCTTAAGTCCCTCTGCTGGCATTGACACTATGATCTGGAAGGGTGTCGCTGCATTGAGGATAAGAATGGCTTCAACTGGAGCCCACATCATCCATAGTCAGAATTTGAGAGAGCAGCCTCTCCTCAGATACTCAGACAGGGACTTCCTTGGAGGCCAGCAGGCAGTTGCTGACTAGCTCACAAGGCCTGGACTCAGGGACCATTTACATGGAACTTTAAAAGTAATGCTCACAGGTCCAGTGGACAACTGTCACAACCCAACCTTAAAAGGGGCACAGTCTAACAGGGCGTGGTGGTGCACACCTTTAATCCTAGCACTCGGGAGGCAGAGGTAGGCAAATATCTTTGAGACTGAGGCAAGACTGGTCTACACAGCAAGTTCCAGTCCAGCTGGGGCTACAGGGAGACCCTCTCTAAAAATCAAACAAAAATAAAGGCAAAGACAATAATAAAAAGGACCACAGTATAGAGCCAGCCAGGAACAGTGAAGTCAGTCCATGTGTGGCAGATACACCGACACCTGCAGAGAGGCCTTTGGGTCACCTCTTCCCAAGACCAAGGAGACTTGAGGCAGGCTGAGTGGAAGGTGATGAAGCAGTCCCTGAAGATGGGTTTTCAGAGAGAGAGAGAGAGACAGAGAGAGACAGAGACAGAGAGACAGACAGAGAGACAGAGACAGAAAAAGAGAGACAGAAAGAGAGACAGAGAGGTTCATGGCCTCCCCGACAGGCCTTGGCAGGCTTGGGGCAGCGGTTCCTGAACACATGACTCATCTTAAGTCCAATAAACTCTTGGTCTTGCCAGTAGCTTTCATCTGCTCAGGGCTCCTCTGAGGCTGCCCCCTCCCCACTGCTGCCTAGAGTCCAGAAAGGGCCTAGCAGGCTGCCAGCCCCAGCCATCTATGTAAACACTCCAACTCTCCAGTCACACTTCAGAGCAGCAAAGAGCAAAATAGGCTCCAACACTGTGCCTGCCTCTTGTAACATATTTTTGCAAGAACTATAAGAGCAACCTTCTTATTCATAAGACTACATGCTCAGGGGAAAATTGCCCCCCAGGCCTTTCCAACCCATGGGGAAGAAGGAGGCAACCAAGGGGTTTCACACCCAGAGGCGCCCCCCTCCTCCCGCCAGACCTGCACAGCTAGTCCCCTTCCTGGCCACCCCACCCCCAAGGCACTGGCCCTGTCCACCTCAGCACCTGCCCTGTGATCTTGGCATCTTAGTGCCTCCCTGATCCCTGGCTTCAGGTGTCAGCAACTCCAAACAAATGCAGAGTTGCATGAGTTTAGAACCCAGTGGGACTGTCTTAGGGGCTTGGGGACACACAGGCCAGCCTGGGAATGAGAGGGGAGGTTAGCAACAGCCTACAAGCTCAGGAACTGCGTCTTGGAAAGGCTGCTGGAGGCACAGCTCTGGGCAAAGGCCCTTGGACCCTCCCTCACCTGGGACTGCAATATCAGGCCTCCCCATCCTTTATGTTTCTGACTCCAGTCCTGCTTTGCTGAGGATGGGCCTGGAGTCAGACCTGCCCATCCTGCATCCCCTTCTTCAAACACACTCCACTTCTAAAGGCAGCCTGGGTCAGGGCAAGGGGGAAATGAAGCAGGTGTGGGCCTGTCTAGTACAGCAGCAACCGGGAGGTCAGGACTGCCCAGTGTTGAGCAGGACCTCAGATAGGTTACTATGCCTTAAAGATATTTTAGGATTATTTCCACTACCAGCCCACTTTTTCAGAAACCTGGACCTTGACTGGGACCCAATAGTGGCTTGCGGTCATTGTTGCTACTGGAGACCCCCCACCGCGCCCCATCCCACCCTGCCACACATTCTGTCGCTCAGCAATATCCCCAACACATGACTTTGGGCACCCGGGGCCCTGGCCCTCATCACCCTGAGATGAGCCGCTGGTGGCGGGGAGGGGAGAGGCCCACTCCAGGGAAAGTTCCAGGGCGTTCTGAATCCCTCTTAAGAGATGGCCAGAGGATCTGCGGACCTGAGGACATAAGTGTCCCACCGCAGCCAG